ACTCATTAATTTGGTAAAATTTTGTTTATTTTATGAGCAAAGCCACTTTTTTAATTGCTGTTATTTTATCCATTAATGGGTTCTTTCGAGTTTAGGGGCTGTTCATAAACTACGTAGACAGTTTAGGGGGGGGGGTAACAATTATCCACGGTCCATACAAATTTTAAATTTATTGTATGGACAATTGTCTACGCAGGGGGAGGGGGGGGGGGTCAAGAATCCCAAAAAAAAAACTGTACGTAGTTTATGGACAGCCCCTTACGTGAGGAGAAAAAAAAAACTTCTGTTTATTTATCAATTAGCTGTTGGAATGTGACGTTTCACTAACACAAAGATAAAAACTCGTGCGCATTTTCATGCGACGTTTCTAAAACTGTCAAAAAGTGAGCGTCGCGTTTTGTTACCAATGAAACAGACAATATATCGCGAATTGGTAATCATTAATTTACAAGCAACCAATTCGCGATATATTCCACATAAAGTTGATCGATATTACAAAACCATCCAAGGACCTTACTGACTACCATAACCATTACCATTAAAGTTATAAAACCATAAATAAAAAGGTTCTAATATAATATCTTTTCCGAAAATGTATGGAGAAAACAAGAATTTGGAATGTTAATGGTTCTTAACAACCCATTATTTGTAAGGTATACTTCAAAAAAAAAACATAAGGTTAAAAATTTATCTCACAAACGTTCATGTAAAGCTCCATAACCATTTCCGTTAAAGTTTAGCAGGGATTATAAACAACTTTTTACCATTATTGATAAGGTCAAGGTCCGGCGAAATAATCTGTTGCGGATACCAAAAATTGTTTATGTCAACAAACAAATTTTGACATATCCGCTTGACACGGGTGCCATTCAGTGCCAAATGAGTGTGCCAAACACTGTGCTGAGTGACCACCCTGCTGAACAGTCAAACAGAACTTTTAAATTGGTTTCAAATATTGTAGTTTTTTTTTTTATTATTTTGAATAGGGCTCATTCCAAGGGGTGGTCACTCTAAACACACCTATTTTGCACCAACTTTTTTCTCAGTGTGCACACGTATCCGGCAGTTGTGGCGACAGTGCCGAAAGTGTCGGTCATAAGCAGTGTTGCCAGATTGTTTTCATGATTATCGGTATCAAATGATTAAAAAATCGGTATTTATCGGTATTCACTATTTTAATTGATTCGACAGTGAGCATGCATAAGGGCGTAAACAAGATGATCGATTCTCTTCGTCGATTTTCTCCTTTGTTAATAACTCGCTTGGATTAACGATTCTCGGTGCGTTTGCTGGTGCATTTGAAAGCCAATACAATCTGTTACAGCACTACATTGAACAAATTACAGAAAATTGTTTCGCTTAGCTGTAGCAATGTAAAGAGAAAATCGATGAAGAGAATCGATCATCGCGTATACGCCCTTATGCATGCTCACTGTCGAATTGTAATTTTTTTTCAAACTTTTGGACTAAAAACGAAAGATGTACTTTCCATGTAAGTCGGAAGAAACTTCTGGGAAATATTTGAACTAGTTTCTTAATGGTACCGACAAAACTTCCAGACCAAGAATAAAGAAGATTTTGTGGAGGTAGTTTGAAGGAAGTTCTAAAAAATGTCTAAAAAACATCAGATGGAGATCTTCCTAGACAAATATTGAGAAACTTCTGGCAAAAATTTTAAGAAACTTTCGGAAAGAATCCAGAAGCCAGAAAAGTTTGGAAATCGGAAGCCAATCCCGGAGGAGCAATTTCCAGGGGAAGTTAGGAGAAGCTCGAAAAAACCTTCCAATAAGTCGGATACACCTACGGAGAGTGACTTATGGAGAAACTTCCAGAGGAAGACGAAAGAAACTTCTGGGAGAACTCGATAGATACATCCGGTAGAACTTTAATTGAACTTCTTGGAGAAGACGGAAGAAACTTTCATTAGACACTGGGAGAAACTTCTGGAAAAAGTCGGACGCCAGAGGGATTACGGAACAGTCGAAAGATACTTTAAGGAGAAGATGGGGGAAATATCTGGAATAAATAGATTCCTGGGGGATGTTAGCACAATATTCCCTGAAGATCCCCACATTCTCTATTGATCCAGCAATTTTCCTGATATTCATAAAATTCCCCTGAAAATCCCACAATGTTCCTGAAGTTTTCGGAATATTCCTGAATTGCACTTCGGAACATCCCATAATTCTTCGGAACTCCTTGAAAGTTCTTGCAATTTTCCTAAAGTTAATGGGGTTGTTTTGAAGTTCTCTGATCATCCTCGAAGTACTCGTAAATTCCCTGATTATTATGGAACTACCGGAAAGTCCCTGGATCTTCCTTAGCGCTTTTTTTTTAAATTAATAAACATCTGCATTAAAGTTATCTGATCTTCCCTATTTTTTTAAGGTCTCGAAACTGCCGATAAAAAACACAGAACTTCCCTCAAAATGTTCTCCCAATTTTTTTCTGTTCATGTAACTTCCCTTCCCTTTCCAAAATTTTCATTTACCTCTTGGATCTTAACTGAAGTTTTCGGAAATTCCTGAGCTTCTTGCAACTCATTTAAAGGTGCAGAAATTTCTTTGAATTTAAATGTACTAATGATTCCCTAAAGTTATCTTAATTTCCCTAAAACAAATGGAAGTATCCTGAAAACCATAATATTTCTTTGAAGTTCTTTGGGCTTGTGAAGTTTCCAAAATATTTCAGTTTCCTTAAGTTCATTGGAGTTCTCTGGGCTTTCGGGTTCTCGGATATGAACAGTAGTAGATGAAACTGTCTAATTTATCAGAACCTACCCAAAAGTTCGAACTGTTCTGAAGTTTCAGAACTTCTGAAAAGTTTCTGAAGTTTTCCTGAAACTAATGGAACCGCAATAAAACTCTGGAAGCATTTCTGAAGTTCCGGGGAAGTTGAAAAAAAAAAGCTGACTGGAGCAGACGGAATAGCCTTTCGAGCGAAGCCAGAAGAAGCTTCCAAGGGAAGTCGAAATAGCTTTCCGGAAGGAATCGTAACATAATTTACAGGGTAAGGTGGACAGAAATTCCTAGGTTGGAAAGTTGGAAGAAATTTCGAAGGGAAGCTTAAAGAAATTTCAGGAAGTTCCAAAATTAACGTTTTTATGGATCTATTTTTCCACTGTATAAAAGTATTTCCCGATTTCCAGAAATTACTGGGATGAGCCATCATATGTTTCTCGACTCCTTGGTAACCAAAAACGGCGAGGAAATTAAAGCATTAGTTGAAGGAGTATCAAGCATAAGGAATTTTTGAAGATGATATTTTTTCAGAGCAGGCTCAAAAATTTTAATTTTCAGAAAGTTAAAAGTCTCTCACAATAGTTTCCACTAACAGTTCAGTGCGGGCAGGCAGTAATCATTTTGATTATTAATAAAAAATCGGTGTACATCGGTATTCTAACTCAAAAATCGGAAGTAAGTTAGAAAATCGGTATCGGTAAGACTGAATTTGTTTGCTTGTATAATGGTTTGGTAATGGGTTGCCAAAACCCGGTTTGACAGTTTTGTTTTGAGGAAACAAAACGACAAGCAGTGGAATCCTATCCCAGATCCTAACCATCTTAACCAAGACGATGCTCCAGAGGCACCTCAGCTGATATCGGACAGACTGGCCAAACCGGAGGAAGGTTTGGTTTTTTTTTTTAAATAACAAATTCTGAAAAATAAACATCAAGTGGTTACACCTTTTTTTTTATATCTTTATTAAGGAGACTTTCAGCCGCGGTTACACCTATTTTTGGGTTAAGGCCCAAGCGCAATGACGGCGGAAGCGGAACGGCAACGGCAGCGGAAAAGCCCGATCTAAGTAAGTCTTATTGTCGGATTGAAAACTAGTTAGAATCAAATCGACTTCGGTTAGGCATCTTGATGTCATTAGTGACAACTGTCAAACTTTCCGTTTCCGTTCCGCTTCCGCCCACATTGCGTTTGGGCCTTTAGGGTAACCGTCGCTTACACGAACAATAATACAAATTAAAAAATCCGTTGGCGCCCAGTTTGTTTTGACAGATGGCAGCCCTTCAATGCATTCAAACTCTTCTATACAACAGTCACCTTGGCCTTCCGAAATCACTTTTCACTCGGCGCCTACTTCGATTGATTCGTAAATGGACAGTAACTTAAGAAAAAAACGAAGAAGAAAAATAAGTAAACACAAAAAGGCAACTGGACTGCGTGAAAAACATCTACCTCCTATCAATTAACCACAACCGCAGAAGAAGAGACGCTCGGAGGGACGCTATTTAGATCGGTCCGACGGAAGAAGGCACACCAGACGGCCGACGACGGTGGAAATATTCGAAAACAAATTGACTCTGACAGCGACGAGCGAACTGGCTGCCGCCGAGTGCCGTGCGTCCCCATTCCCATCTCTGCCTAGTCCCTGTAAAACTAAAGGTGTCTAGTTAGTGTTGTTTTCATTCTACATTCACGAAAAACATTATGCTCTACAACAACCCACCTCCTGCGACACGGATTCTTCCTACCATGTGGCCATTTCTCCGCGCATACTTTGTTGTTGCTCTCCCCAATACGAGCACGACCGAATTCCTTCTCCACGCTCCAATCCGAGAACACACACGCGTGCTGGGTGTCAAAAAACACGATCCCGTCGTAAATTGTTGCAAACAAACGCATACACATGGCCCACTCTGCCCGAGCTCGGCCACGGCAACCAAAGTCAAGCCAAAGCCAAGTGTGTGGAATCTATGGAAACCAATATTGATTTTCCAACGTATGGAAGTTTGTCATTTTTCACAACTGCAATAATAGAACAGAACTACCTAATTTACACTCTATTGGAAAAATGAAAACAAACAAGCATGAAAGTATATTTTCCGCCTCTTAATTAACACGTTCGAACTCGAAATGGAATTCCAACACGTGCTCATTCCCCGCAAGCAGCAGCACCGTTGTTTGTTGATAGCAAAAAAAAAAATCTAGTGGTGCTCGGTTTACATTGATCATTAATTTTGTTTTATTTTTCTCTGCTCATTGCAGCAATCGATCGGGCCATGAGTCCGGCCCAGTCCGAGGATTCCGGCTTGGCGGCCGATCGCGGAACAACCTACGCAACGATTTCGATTCCACGCGACCAGGGAGCGTCCCTCGGGATCATACTCACAGGTGAGTGTCGTGCGCCGTTTTCCTGTTTTGAAAGTTTACGCATCCATTCTAGTACAGTTTCCAAATCTCAGTGGGCCCAAACACACACACACCGAATCCGAATCGGGGGGGGGGGGGGGGGGGGGGGGTGGGTGATGAATGAGCTCTAGTTGCGCCGCTCTCTCCAATTCAGATGGGGAAGCGAAATATTTGGCTGTTGTATTGCGTATTTTATTCACTTTAACGAGGTCATTAATTTGAGTTAGGACCGCAACAGCAGTCAGCGCCGTCGCCACCGCCACCGTCGTCAGTCAGTGAGTGGGATTTTTCGCCGCCAATAAAAGACGAATTGGTTTAATCCAATTAAGATGCTTCAGAATGCATCTCGCCGGGCGGATGGCAGCCACAAAATATCCCATAAAGCGAAAATCTGGGCGATGCGCGTCTGTAGACAGAGCGAAGGGGTTGCCTAACAACAGCATGCAGGAAGGGGTTGCGTGCGGATTGCGGATCATGGATGCCGTAAAATGTGCATAAAACAGGACCGTTGAAAAGTTCCCCAATTAATGCGACTGGAGCTGGCTGCGGATGAGTTTCCCATAGAATGAATCGAGTTTCATAAAAAAAAATACGAATGTCGAGGTTTAACTGTCAAAAATGGGTTACATAGCTGTAGTGTTGCCAGCTACGTAATCCTTCCATGCCATTTGTTTTATTTATCGTCGAAAGATATGCAAATTTTATTGGATGATTTTCCCTTTTTTTTCTCCATGGCAGAGCGTTTGGACCTCTCGTATCCACCGGTGGTGGAGTCCATCAACGGGCCGGCGGCGGACATTCTGGCACCGGGCGACCGCATTCACCAGATCGATGGCATTTCGACGATTGGTCTCACCAATCAGCATCTGTTCAGCATATTGGCCCACGGCGATGGGCCGGCCGTGATTGAGATCGAGTACTCGTTTCCGGAGTATAGTGAGTATTTTCGTGTGATTATTCTTAATCTTTTGACTAATATTAAGTGAAAACGGAAATCTATATAAAGACTTTAATCAGTAGGACAATATTTATAAAGACCGAGTAATCAGTGCTTGTCATGGTAAATGATGAGCTTCTTTACTAACTGATTTTTCATACTTGCGCCCGACTATTTCAAATTTATGCGCCTCCTTTAAGGAGCGACCATGATTGTAATCAGTGCTGATAAAAATCATTCCTTCTACACTCAATATAGCTGAAAATGAAGACAACCTTAACAGATAGATCAACTACATGCATGAATCTGAATTTTGACAATAACAACATTCTCTTGATCAAGGCAACCTCTGAGTATCGTAGTCCACATTTGTTTTTCTCGTTTTCTTCATTCGTTCGTGGCTGGATGTTCATTATCGCCTCCGTTGTTGTCAATATTAATATTCGTCTTCATCTTGGTGGGGATGATTTTGAGGATCAAATGCAAAATGATTATTTTCATTTTACTCAAATATAGCGCTGAAGGAGGAGTCGTGTTAATTTTTACACACAAACCGATGGCAAATTATTGCCTCAAGGTGAACTGATGATAAAATCCCGGTTTTAGGTTCTGAAGTCGACAGTATTTAAAATAATCATTTTACCCAAAATGAATTTGATTATTTTGCTTTTGAGGATCATTTCTGATTTTGACAATTTTGGGTTGGATAATCAAGCACTGGAGAATATCAACAAACGTGTACTCGTTGATGTATAATGAACTCAAGAGCAAATTTTCATTACGTCGAATGTAACAAAGGTAAACAAAGTCGAGCTATCAGTGCCAATCGATTCTCCTGCTATTACACTATATACTGTCCGAATATAGGATCAAATCCCATTTTTAAATTTATTTGCCAGCCAAATTGCTTTTTGACGTAATCACCTTCCGATCAAAATAGTTTTCGATGTTACTTAAGTCACCCAATTTCTATGGAGATGCCGTTTGACTTAAAAGTAACAGCGCGTAGAAACCCGTGAAAAGTGTACGTTCGTCGTTTCGCTTTCGCATTATTAAAGTGAATAAATCGAACTGTTTGTTCGGTGGTCCTAAAATGATGAATAGGCTGCACGTAAGGAGACGTAATTGATAATTCTCCCGAATATCCTGGTAAATACACTTTGACTTAAGTAACAATAGGGGCCACCAAACGACGTATAATAACTTTTGACTCAAAAACCAGTATTTTTTAGCATGAAAGCTAGCGATTTGCATTTGTATGATTAAAACCCTGCTAAATATGTTAAACATTGCTATCACTATGAGATTATATGTGTTTACTTGGAAATAGGAATAACTTTTCGGTCATCAAAACAAAACTTTATTTTTCTCGGATTGGTGCGAATGTTACTTACGACATAATGAAAATTTGCTCTTGAACTCATTTATTCATTCCGCTCGTAGGTAACAGCGAAGATTTTCAAAACAAACGCAATTCATCTACACTGGGTTGAAGCGATACTCCTTGCGTGTGATGGTAAATGATAAAAACAGACACTGATTGTTATACACACACAATTTAGTTCCGTCTAACTAAAACCACAAACGAAGTGACAGACGGAGCGGCTCGAAAACTTTGGTGACGCACCTGCTATTGCAATTTTTCAGTGTACCACATGGCAACACCACTACTACTGGCTTGTACCACATGGCAACACTACTAATGGATTGTACCACATGGCAACACTAAATGTGCTAGAATGTTTTGGTTCTATCTCTTTCACTCTACTCTAAACTGAAATGCATAAAAAAAATGACAAAATGATACACTCTTTGCACACTGTCAAAGATCATATTGCACACAAAATCAACTATTTTCAAATCAAAACAAAAATACTAGCCCATCTGGTGGCTGGTGGCACAAGCTTCTAAGAAAATTCTATTACAGCGAACCACATTATTTTAATTGATCTCTTCGCCAGTTAGTCGTCTGTTACTTCGTTTGTGCTAAAACTAAGGTACGGTTAAAACTACGATGTTTTAATTAAAACGTTTCGATTTTTGGACTTGGTCTTTCTCAGAGAACATCAAGTTAAGCCTGCCGTTCATCGCAAAAGGTATCACGATCCTAATCTAAAAGTAGCCCTGCTGAAGATTTCATATCTTATCCCCTGGATCGAAACGTTGACGATGGTAAAACTGCTATCAGGTTTTTTTTTCTGGAAGGCTGTTGGGGGAAGGGAGGAGTGTTCGGAAATCTTTTCAGCAGACAAAGGAATCACATTCGGCGTGCAATTCATGAACACTAAAAGCTATATTTCCTTATTAATACATACTAAATATTTATTTCTTCCTTAAAAAATACTCACATTGATATATCCTTACTCCTTTTATTCCTCCTCCAACTGATTTTCACGGTATATAAACTAAATTAATACAATTTAAATAAATTAACAATTTCTAGCCTTCTTAGCAGCATGAATTGCTATTTCTTTCTTCTTTTGCGATTCTTCTGTCTACTCTTCCTAGTAAAGGGCGAACACGAAATTATTGCGACACATTCAACAGGGCATAACTTTTTTACCATTGGGTAAAAATCAACCAAATTTTGCACACTTTCTCATTGATGTGTATTGTGTACATGCTGTCAAACTCGAAGTCGTGTTTTTCGATTCAACGAAAATGGAGGTGAACCAACGCGAGTTGAGAGAACAAATTCTTTCCAAACACCTGGAATTTCCTGACCTGTCGCACCGGCAGTTGGGAAAAATGTTGAACATTCACCATTCAACCGTCTCCAGAGTGTTGAAGCGGTTCCAAGAGCGGTTGACGTTGGACCACGGCAAAGGAGCTGGAAGAAAACCGGGACCGGAGAACAAAAAGACGGAGGGAAAGGTGAAGCGGATGATTAAAGCAAATCCCAACGTCTCAAGCCGTGATTTGGCTAAAAAGATCGGCATGTCGCAGAGCTACGTCCAGAATGCAAAGAAGAGAGCTGGACTACATACATACAAGGTACAGAACTTCCCAAACCGCGATGAGCGGCAACAATCGATGGCTAAAACTCGGGCACGGAAGCTCTACGAGAAGATGCAGACAAAATATGGCTGCTGTGTGATGGACGACGAAACGTATATAAAAGCCGATTTTAAGCAAATTCCGGGGTTGGAGTTTTTCACCGGCAAGAGCAATTCGATGTGGACGACAAATGTAGGAAGAAGAAAATGTCGAAGTTCACCTCCAAATATCTCATTTGGCAGGCCATCTGCTCTTGCGGACTGAGGAGTGAGCCTTTCGTGACAAAGGGCACAGTAAATGGCGAGATCTACATATCTGAGTGCCTCGAGAAGCGCCTTTTGCCGTTCTTGCAGCAGCACGACGAAGCTCCGCTATTTTGGCCAGATTTGGCATCATGCCACTATTCTAAAAGTGTCCTGGAGTGGTATGAGGCCAATTCTGTCCATTTTGTTCCAAAGGCCATGAATTCGCCAAACTGTCCGGAGCTGCGCCCGGTGGAGCAGTACTGGGCAATAATGAAGCGGGAACTTCGGAAGAGCAAGAAGACAGTCAAAGACGAGAAGGACATGTTAAGAAAATGGAAAAAAAACTGAGAAACTGGTACCGGATGACACTGTAAAGACTTTGATGGAGGGCATCAAGCGAAAATGCGTTCAATTTTACACTCAAGGCTCCATCGATTAACTTTTCTTTTGATTTTTGAAGTAAATGTATGTATAAAACTACCCTAAAATTTTGGTTTGATTCTAAACATTATAAGAAAATTGGCATGACATTTTCGGTGTCGCCTATCAAAGACACTCCTCCAGCTGTCAGTTTGTTTTCTTCAACGTTATGGCACCGGTTTGGTCATTTAACCGCCTTCACTGTCCGAGGGGGTTTGGCGCGAATTACCGCAACAGTTCCCCCACCCGTAAGGTTGGTCCTGCTTTACTCTCTGCAACGTCTAAAAGCGCCAACTTTGCCACCGGACGATGTATCATCCCGTCAGCAGTCTGCACTACCGCGTCACGTACTCGTCCATCCTTTCCTACGACCACCTCGGCTACGCGTCCTCGAATCCACCCATTGCGAGTCTTCTTCTCCACGAGCATGACCAAGTCTCCCACTTCGATTGGCATAACATCCTCGAACCATTTGGTGCGTCGTGCGATGGTCGGAAGGTACTCCCACACCCACCGGCGCCAACATTGGTCCATCGTTACTCGGCAAAGGTTCCAGTCGGTTCTGCAGGCCTGTTTAGGATCAGCAATTGTACTCGGAGTCTGCGCCACGCCACTCGAGCTCAAGAGAAGGAAGTGGTTCGGCGTTAGGGCTTCCTGTTGTGAACTCTCCAGTGGAATGTAGGTCAGGAGCCTAAAATTCACCACACTCTCTGCTTCAACCAGTACCGTTGCTAGAATCTCTTCGTTCGGGGTACGTGTAGTGTCCATTGCTGCGAGGGCAACTTTAACCGACCGTACTAATCGCTCCCATACGCCGCCCATGTGTGACGCTTCGTGTTCGCGTTGGTGAACGTCCTAGCATGCTGACAATCGATGCTATCCATCTATTTCTTTAACTCGTTACTGGAGCCCACGAAGTTCGTTCCCCTGTCACTTCGGATCTCGACGGGTGCGCCTCTGCGTCCAATGAAACGCCTAATCGCCATCTTGCAGGATTCCGTCGAAAGTGTATGAACGACCTCGAGGTGCACCGCACGTGTTGTCAGGCACATAAACAGCGCTACCCACCGTTTGGCGGTACTTCGGTTCACTCGCACTCCAATCGGCCCGAAGGAGTCGATTCCCACGTAGGAAAACGGTCGCACGTATGCCTGTAACCTAGCTTTAGGAAGCGGAACCATCCGGGGTATTGCTGGAATTGGTTTCTTCACCTTGCACAACGTACATTCTTTCGCCACCTGGCGCACAACCGTTCGTAGCTGCGGGATGTGGAATCGCTGGCTTATTTCATTCACGACAGTCTCGCCGTTCGGTACCATTCGACAAGCAGACGTGTT